TTGTTGAGTTTGCGCTCAACAACGCGGTGCACGCGTCCACGGGGTTCACGCCGTTCTACTTGAACGGCTTCCGCCACCCCAGAGTGCCTCTCACTCTTCGAGGAGACACTGACTCCTCTATTCTAAGTGGGGGAGAGGCTCGGAAAGCCCTTTCCTCCCAGGTCTCGGATGTGAGGCCAGTTTCGCTGCGGAAACAGGTGGAATCCTTTATGGATACCAAGCTGAACATTGTCAGCAGGGTCCGCGATGCCATGGTAGCGGCCCAAGATAAACAAAAATAGTACTCAGACAAACAAGGAAGAGGAAACTTAAGTATATTTGAGGTTGGTGACTTAGTGTTGCTAGACACGAGGAACCTACCTCTAGACACTGTTAGCTCTATCGGCAGCAACAAACTGAAGCACCGCTTCATCGGACCTTTTGCAGTCCTGGCCAGACATGGTGCGTCGTACACCATCGACCTTCCAAAGTCAATGACGACGCACCCGACGTTCTATGTCGGACGTCTTAAGCGGTACTTTGACCCGCAGGGGGTTGCTGACTCGCAGATCCCCCTTGACCCAGCTCCTCGAAGCGAGGGCCGGTCACAGTCGTCGACGAGGGCGTCGGAGCAGGCACCCAAGTCTCGGTCGGGACGGCAAGGCACCCGCGGGTGCAGGCTCGCGACCTCTCGCTCCACCAGGTTCAGGCGGCCCGCAAGACGAGCGAGCTCGCCCTGATTCCCGGCCTGGGCGGCAGCATTACCGCCAGTTTCAAGGCCAAGTGCAATCTCAAGCACGAGGACACGTTGACGGAGGCGGTCAACCTCAGGGTCCTGTGTCGGACCCGCAGTCGGAGCACTCGGACGAGAGTGGCTCTCGGGAGGCGCCGAGTACTCGTACTCGTACGAGGGCACCTCCGCCCCTGCTTGACCGGAATGGAGAAGCCCACTTCCACGTGGAGCGGATCCTCCAGGAGCAACGGTGTCGCGGCAAGCGACAGCTCCTCGTGAAGTGGAGGGGTTATGCCCACTCCGAGAACTCGTGGGAGCTGATTGAACGGCTCCTGATTGACTGCCCGAAGGCTGTCGCAATCTGGGAACAGAAGCGGCGGCAGCTTCATAAGTAGTCCGGGGCTTCTTGCCCGAACGGGGTACGGTCGATGAATACATACCGCACCCGCGCTCATCGTGAGCGCTAGAAGCCGCGCGCTTCAGGATGTCCCTTGGTAGCATACGCTTGCTGATCAAGTGGGCAAACCTCACACGAAGATCACGCTGGTCCAGGATGTGGGACAGCTGCTGATCTTCATGGAGTTCCCATAACTCCGTGGGCGAGTACTTGAGAGTCTCCACCCACGCCCAGAACATGTCCTCACAATAACTCCACGTGGGGACAGTTCTCGGGCATAACCCAGGGGTATCCCCAAACAGGATAGAGACCACCCCGGGTCTCGGGCTTCTTACGACAAGTCGTGAAGTCCTTAAGGGGAATGCGGTGTGGCGCGAGAAGCACACACCGAGCAGCCTCCAAGTTGTCGACGAACAGCTGTTCTTTCTGAACAAGGGCTCGTTCATAGATGCCCCTAGAAGTGTGGCCGCCCACAAGGCCACGAGGAGCGACGAGAAGCTCTAAGAAGAGGTCAGCCCCAGAGCTCTCCTCGGGAGGCCAATACCCTCTTGAGTTGATGGCAGCTCCCTGGCTGACGGGTGCCGCCACGGAACCCCCACGCACACGATGGGCAACTTGGAACTCCTCCTGCTGCTGGTCGAGGTCATTCGAGACCTCCCCGGGGCTCAACAATGGCACCCTCCTCTTCCTCTTCTTCCTCCTTCTCCTCCTCTATATCCGAGTAGCCGAAGAGACTCTGATAGGAGCGTCGAGTCTCCTTCTCCTCGCGGAGTGGAGACTTAGAGGCGGTACGCTTCTTTGAGGGCTTGGCGCCTTCGGCTTTAGAGGCCTTAGCGCGCGCAAGACCCTCGGCAAGCGAGAGACGTTTGCGAGGACTCCCTTCCTCATCGCCACCGGCTTTGGGAGCGCCCTTAGCCTTAACGGCCGGACTCTCAGAGCGCACAGAGGTCCTGGGACTGTGATCACCGTGATCACTAGCGGGCGACTGCACGCTGCCTTCTTTGTGCTCGCTGGGCACTGGGCTGTGCCCTCCCACAGAGCCCGCAGGAGCATCCTGAGTGCTCTCGGACTCGGCATCGTCTTCACTGCCCGAGTTGAACTCGCGTTCTACGAACCGAGGATTCGGACGGTTGTCTGAAGACGAGGGCGACGGACTGCGGCGCCTGCTTGCGCGCTTGTCCGCAGCCGCGTCACCCGAGGAACCGATCGCCTCGGAGGCCACCTGAGTAGCCTCCTTGAGTGCAGAGCCTTTGCCGTGAGGCTTAGTGCTCTTGGCCTGCGCCTTACCGGCTGCAGCCTTGGAGCGTATCTTAGCACCGCTCTTAGCAGTGCCACGAGGCATGTTAACGGTCGAAGTGGAGACCTTGACGAAGAGCGCACAGGTTGCTGCTCGAGGCTCTAACTGTGAAGTGAGCCTCCGCCGCGCTTGCGCGGCCAAGTCGATGGTTTTCGACTTTGGGAATGAGAGTTTGTGACGAACACCTCTTCATTCTGATTGGTCGGTAAACCGAACCTAAGTAGGAGAGGATGTGACGGGGTACGTAGCCCTAAGTGTACTCTGGTTACATGAAGTGTGACACTTCACACTTCAGGAGTATGACACGTCATACTCCGGGATATTTGGTACAAGGTACCAAAGTCGTTCAAAGCCAACCATTGGTTAAATGACATTGCATTTCTATAGGTAACTTATAGTTTGTATTAAACCCGAACTTATCCTACCTATAAATATACTCAGTTTACAATCTACCTTATTTGGGTCACTTCGCTCTCTTTAATAAAAGAGGGGACCAGTGAGCTGCCGTTCACTGAGAGTTTGTATACTCTCGGAAGATAACTTCCTCTTGCGCAAGGTGCTGTGTGACCCCGTCACAAGAGCCCATTATTACTCAGTCAACTTTTATTATTTGACGGTGCGGTTTTCACACAAGTTGCAAAACATATTTCGAAATACCAAGGATGTGCTAACGCTCGCGTTTTTGCGAGGCTCACATACAAAAAAGCGATTTGTCAAGCTGGACACAATTTACGCCCAAATCAAATACCTATATAAAATAAGAAATGTGTCATTTCGGCTGACTAGAAATTTGTAAGGCCAGAGTTTCTGTGGGTGATTAAATGGGCACTAGGGATCGAGAGTGACCGTAAATTGTGTCCAGCTTGACAAATCGCTTTTCTGTATGTGAGCCTCCCTATAAAGTGCAAAAACGCGAGCGTTATTATAATCTTGCTATTTTGAAGCATGTTTTGCAACTTGTGTGAAAACTGCACAACGTCAAATAATAAGAAATGACTATGTTATGGGCACTCGACGGGGTGGACGTTAAATTGTGTCCAGGAGTGTAATTGAGCGCAGAGATAGAATGCCATTGAATACAACGCGCTGTGGTAGACATTCTATAGTTCTAGAATTTCAACAGAATCCTTTTAGCTGGGAAAATGTCAGCACGTGTCCGAAGGTGTATTTTGGAATGTTCGGTTTTGACAGTACATGTATGTGATACATGTACCGCGTAAAAGGGTGTCAGTTGGTGTATGAGCAATGCGGTTTATTGTCCGAAGATCTGACCGGATATGAGCGGGCGGTATATAGCCGTATGCGTCATAGCTGTTAGAAGTGCCATATTTGTAATTCCCGACTGAGGGGCATGAAAATGGCTGAGGACACTGACGACATAGGAGAAGAAGGGGGGGGGCGTACCATGATGATAGACAAATGGGGATGCCCTTCAAGAGTACGTCGAAAGCTCTGTACGTACCTTTCGTGATACATGTGAACTCGCTAAAAGATCTTGTAGTCGTCGTAGTGAGCCGGTAAGCTCTCTCGGAGTCCGAGACTGGAGCACGGCGAGCCATGTAGTGCTCGTGACCTTGGCCAGTGGTGGCCGACCTTTGTAGAGCGTCAAGCATGCATACGGCGTTGGAATTGGGCGCTAAAAGGGCGTACGTCCCTCACTCAAAAATTGGTGCTTCTGAGAACCAAAATACCACGAACAGCCAATCTTCGTGGCGCTGCACACTGCCTAACCACGGCTTTGGGCAAAAGCTGCGTCAGTACGTGTGTCGGAATGAAACGTGGTTTGTCCATCCCGAGGGCTGTGCCAACTTCACCTTTTGGCTGACCTTTGGTGTGGACCCATACATGTTTTGACTTTTTCTAGAAGCTCTTCGTACCGGTATATAAAACTTCCCTAGAATTCTAGAATTTTTATGAATCAGTTCAGCTAACAACTCGCTACCATTTAACTATGCCGCCACAACGCATGAAATTCAAGCACAGCTTAATGCATCGACTGGATAGAGGTGGTATTCCATCCCGAGCCTAAAAGCACTTTCGTCAATTGTGTTGGCGTATAAGCGCATCATGTATCCGGCAATGGTGACGCGAATTCGCGCCGAAGCTTCATCTCGCTGTCGCATCATCAATAAACCATTTCAACGCCATCGAATACAACGCCGTAATTCCCAAATACCGCGCTTTATAATAATAGTAGACGACTGTTTTCCGTATTATACGTTAATATTAAAACGCGTTTTCATTTACGTTAAATACACAAAGCACAAATCCACTAATTTCAATTACAGTATGGTGAAAGGTGCTCAGTGCAACAAATCGGTTCTTACAATACAATCAAATTCTGTAATTGCAACCTGTACGATTTTGGCGGTAAGCTGAATGATGTTGACAGTCAAACTTTCTTACGGTAATAACAACACAGCGCGTTTTCTGCAAAGCGCACCTTTGTAAGTTACAAATTGTAACATGAATTAAACTTCGTAGAGAAAGTCAAACCAATCATTCAGCGCTCCCAAGTAAGAGGAGCAAGGCAGCGTGATCGTGATCATCAAGGCAAGCAGGTTCTTCGTATCCTGTATTCGTGCCTGGTTTCACTATTTCTTTGCATCTGCAATCGGTGTTTTCTTCCTTTTAATGGCCGTGAGCAGTTCAGGGTCATTTTGCAGCACCTGGTACACACGCAATGCGTCACGGCCCTCCTCCAAGTGCGTCTGGATACGCGCAGCGTTGCTCTCACGTCGTCTCAGACGCAGCAACTCTCTCGCGTTGTATTGCAGCTTGCGGCCGATGCTGCGGTCTGGGAAGTCCTTCGCCACGCGCAGCACGTCCCGGTACAACGCCAACACCTCACGCCTCAAGCCAATGCCCGTCATTTTGTTCGATGATTGGACGATAAATCGACAAGGAACCTCTACGATTGGTGGATTAAGGTCCCACCTTCTTCAAGAAGAAAAATGACAAATATCCGCAGAACTGAAAGTGACGCCTGAAGCTCAAGGGGCTTAAGAGCTAGCCATCAAACAATGAAGCAATCCTGCCTGGTTATTGCAGTGCTCCTGGGTGTCCTGGGATTTATCAACGTCGAAGCACGTCGGAACGTTGTGATCGTTCGTGCTGATACGTTCCGCCTAGCAGAGACGGCAAACTTGTGGGTATTTAAGAAAATATATTTATTAATTTTTACTGATGAAACGTTGGCGAAAAAGATATTGGGGTGCAAGTCCAGCGCAGCACGCGAGACAATTGGTGCATGACAATTTGTGGGCGACATTGTCGACGATCTCGGTGCAATTTGGCGGCGTCCCTTACGGCAATACTGTCTCCTACAGCGGTAGGTTTGAATGGTTAATTGAGTTTTACGGATCTATATTAAGTTCTAGAATTTGCATCTAGACGGTGTGGGATTCTCGAAGGAAGACTCGACGGGCAGGTTGTTCCTCTACCTCACGCCGATGGATGCTTCAGGTACGACGGGAGTGGTAATGATGTTTCAGTGAATACTAAAAAAAAATAAAACATTGCTGCAGGCTCCGACCTGAGCGTCAATTCGACTGCATCAGTGGCGATTTCGATGGCGCAGGAGGGCGAGCACGCGTGTAAGATGGACGTAGAAGACCCAACGTGCTGGAAGATCACGCTGACAGGCAAGGTTGTGCCGGTGCCTGCTGATCAACGCCACTACGCCGAGAAAGTGTTGTTTTCCAAGTACGTCGAGTATTTTTATGTTTATTTCACGTACGATGTTGATGTTAATTGGGGGTATTTATTGTAGACACCCGCAGATGGAACACTGGCCGGAGAATCACGGATTCCTGCCGTACGTCTTGGACATTGAGAACATCATCTTGCTCGACTTTTACGGCGGTGCCAAGCACGTTCCGGTGAGGGAATACTACCAGGTCAAGCTGTGAGCAGAGAGGAAACGTTTGCTTTTGCTATTTTGAGTTGTCACTGGAGAGGAATAGTGTGTTGCTGATGTTGGGAGATCGCCTCTTTGACCTGCATAAACGAAACCAATTATAAAAATGAAAAGTGCGATTATGACGAGATGATTTGTAAGTAAGCAAGCCATCAAGACTTACATGTACCGTATATTTTGCGCTGTATCCAAAACCGTTTTACGTCATAATTGCGATTTTTGTAGTGCGAAAGCTTGCTGTTTGGTGATTTGCAAAAACTCCGGTAGACTTTGGCTGCATTGCAGTATTACTGAGGCTCACACGTTTAGAAATTGAGAACATCTCTTCACTCGGAAGCTTCGAGTATTTATTATTAAAATAAAATGGGTACAGAACGCTGATGATTGCGTGGAGCGCTTTGTTTAGTTGCCCATTCCGATAGCGTGAACAGGTCCGTGATTGTCACAGATCACTTGGTGGTTGGCTGCTCCTTTTCTAGCTTCAGCTTAATGTGCCATCAACGCTCACCTCTCATTCTTCAATTTGCCCAATTCAAAGCAACACTAATTCTGATCATGGTCTCCGCTATCGCTCCAAAGCTCTTCACGCCTTTCAAGCTGGGCGGGAAGAAAGCTCCTGTCGAGCTCAAGCACCGTGTCGTCATGGCGCCTTTAACGCGGCTGCGCACTGGAGAGAGTGGCGCTCCGACTCCTCTAGTGGTTGAACACTACGCTCAACGTGCAACAGACGGTGGTCTTCTCATCGCCGAGGCCACGAACATCAGTCCGACAGCTCGCGGATACTTTGGCGCTCCAGGACTGTTCAACCAAGAGCAGGTTGACGACTGGAAGGCTGTGACCAAAGCTGTGCACGACAAAGGAGGCAAGATCTTTGTCCAGCTTTGGCACACGGGGCGTGTGGGTCATCCACTGAACCAGCCTGATGGTCAACTCCCAGTGTCGTCCAGTAACACCAGTGTCGACGACGTACACACCCACGCTGTCACTCGTGAAGGTCGCAAGGACTACGTGACCCCTCGTGCTTTGGAGATCGAGGAGATCCCTGCTATTATCGCAGACTATAAACGTGCTGCAGAGAACGCCATTGCTGCGGGCTTTGACGGTATCGAGATCCACGCGGCTAACGGCTACCTCCTCGAGCAATTCCTGTGTGACGGTGTGAATAAACGCATCGACAGCTATGGAGGCAGCATCGAGAACCGAGCTCGCATCATCTTTGAGGCGGTGGAAGCCATTCTATCGAGTTTGCCGTCCAGCCAGGTAGGGATCCGCTTGTCACCTTTCGGTGATACATTTGGCTGCAAAGACTCGACGCCATCCAAGACGTACGGATACGTCGTGAACAAGCTCAACGACTACGATCTCGCCTACGTCCACGTGATTGAGCGTCGCGGTATGCACGCAGCTAACGTGCAAGTGCCGGAGGTTGGTGTCGCTCGCCACTTCCGTGACACCTACAAGGGCGTCCTGATTACTGCTGCTGGATACGACCGTGAAGACGCGCTTAAGACGGTTGAAGAAGGTGCTGCTGACCTCGTGGCATTCGGATGCGACTTCATTGCGAATCCGGATCTCGTGGAGCGTCTGCGTATTGGGGCGGAGCTCAATGCACAAAACAGAAAGACATTCTACCCGCAGCCGGGTGTTCCGCTAGAGTCTGGCTACACGGACTACCCGTTCATGACTCAGGATAAGTAAGACCTGGACTGGATCAAATAAACTATCCTTCATTAAGACGAATACTATGTTGTAGTTATTTGGAAGTTGGAGAAGAGAGTGTGCTTGGCTTGACAAAGCAAACAGATTCGTTTTTACCCGAGTAGCATTTCGTCAAGTTTGTCGATCACTTTTTGCTCATGTAGAAAATAAAACTGAAAATAAACCGGCTACAGAATAACAATGACGGCCGTGACGAGAATGCGCAAAATGAGCGAATGTGGATGCAGCTACAGTAGATATTCCCCGCACTGAGGGACGTTTAGGCTCAGCATAGAGAGAGAGACAGCTGACTGCAGTCGAGACTGTCTCAATGACCTCACTTCACCGACAATATCCGCTCATGCATTTCCAGCGACAAGAAAACAATAATTAGCAAAGCTGAATGCTTCGAAGTCATCATTTCAAACGACAAAACCGCACCTGCATTTGTCTAACGTGAATAGCGCGAGACTGCTTCGACCGCGTAATCTTGTGCTGGTAGACTTGCAGCGACCTGTGGCAGTAAAAACTTCTGCAAGTTTCACATATAAGATTTACCAGTACTTCTAAAGTATGCCGCAACTCTGAATCCTGAGACGAGTCCCTTTGGATACGACATCAGCTTGATACGCAAAAAATAGTTATCAATCGCTTCCTGTCCGTCACAAGTTGACTCACATCTTGTTCACATCTCAAATTCCTCCCTGAGGCACAAGCTCCTTTCTCCACTATTCAACAATGACTTCCATTGCCAACACCACTGCCCCGGCGCTCTTTTCGGCTCTGACACTCGGCGGCAAGGAGGATCGTGTCCAGCTGAAGCATCGTGTTGTCATGGCACCTCTCACTCGTGTGCGCTCGGGTGACTCGGGCGTACCAACGAACGTGGTGAAGCTGTATTACTCGCAACGTGCAACGGACGGAGGGCTGCAGATCTCCGAGGCCACGAACATCAGCGCCACGGCTCGTGGCTACTTTGGCGCTCCTGGGCTCTTTCGTCCGAATCAAGTAGAGGGCTGGAGGGCGGTAACTGAAGCTGTGCATGCAGAAGGCGGTAAGATATTCGCGCAACTTTGGCATACTGGACGTGTGGGCCATCCACTCAACCAGCCAAACGGCCAGCTCCCAGTGTCGTCAAGTGCCACCGCTTTTGACGGCGTGAAGAGCCACGCCGTGACGAGCGAAGGACGCAAAGACTACGTGACACCTCGAGCACTAAACATCTCGGAGATTCCTGGTATAGTTGCTGACTACCAACGCGCTGCAGAGAACGCCATCACTGCAGGGTTTGATGGCGTAGAAGTCCACGCGGGCAACGGATATCTACTGGAGCAATTCCTATGCGACGGCGTGAATAAGCGCACAGATGCGTATGGCGGTAACATCGAAAACCGCGCACGAATTATCTTTGAAGTGCTGGAGGCTGTCCTCTCTGTTGTGCCATCGAGTCGGGTTGGCATTCGTCTGTCCCCTTTCGGTGAGACGTTTGGATGCAAGGACTCAACGCCACGCGAGACGTACGGGTACGTGGTTGCGAGACTAAACGATTACGACCTGGCCTACCTACACGTAATCGAACGGCGTGGTCGCCATGCAGACAGCGTTAACGCCCCAGCGAACGGAGTGGCGCACCACTTCCGCGGCATTTACAATGGAGTTTTAATCGCGGCTGCAGGATTCGACCGCGTCGACGCGATTCGAGTCGTCGAGGATGGCACGACGGATCTGGTTGCCTTCGGTAGATACTTCATTTCGAACCCGGATCTCGTGCAGCGTCTGCGCGTCGATGCAGACCTGAATGCATTCGACCCGAAGACGTTTTACGTGCAGCCGGATACGTCGGTAGAGGCCGGATACACAGATTACCCATTTTTGGGCGAGGAAGACAAGGGCGTGCGCCCAGCTGGATGCGCCTAGAATAAAATCGAGTTGTACTTATCCAGTAGGCCACAGGCTAAAAAAGTGAATTTTTTGTCAGCTATGTGCATGTACCTTATATAGCAGTATTTGCTCACGATACAACGCTATCTGGCGCAAACAATACAGTTTCAAATTTAAAACGCCTTAATAATTCTAAGCTGCGATATTTTCGCATATAGCTCAATCACTTTTAATATAACTAGGCTGCAGCTGTAATATTCAAGTATACATAACAGCGTGGTATCATTGGCAAAAATATGTATCTGAAGCTAGTGCGACATCGTATTATCTATAATATATCTGGTTTTCGCGAAATCCTGGCCATTTAATTTGGAAAAAAGTCAAAGCACAGAGAGGAAGCTCAGATTCACTTGTCAATTACCAAGATGCCCAGTACAGCCAGCCAAGTGTTCGACCGCCTCAACCGACAGTGGGAGGACGAGACCTCCAACCTCATTGGCAAGTTGGAAAGTGAGGAAGATGAAGTGTCTCGCTGCTGTATTTGCACTTGTAGAGTACCTGATATTGTACTGGCGAGATGAAATGCAACACCAAACATTGCCCCTTCACAACTTCTCACCCAATTACCCAATTTATATGAGCTTTTTTTTGTTGGAAAGATAATGATTTCTTCTCTTAAGTAGTCATAATCATCCTTGAATATCTGCTCAAATTCACATGCTACACTTAATCGAAAAGTGCGTGTCTTTCGTTCCGCCCAAAAAATCGAGGCTATGTTCTTGACATACGGCATCAGATGTTTTGGTCCTTACAAACTTTAGTATTACAATCAACAATGCCCTTTTTACTCATTTTATGCACATTTGATCCTAGGAAGTGGGGCTGTCGGCGATGCGTTTAACACTGCATGCAGCAATCCCTACGCTGCTCCTGTAGCTAAAACCAACTTCTGCAGATGCGTTGCATTCCAAGCTGCATTCTGGCGTAAAGCTTGTCACTTTAGGCTTCTTTGTTTATTAAATATCGCAAGAAATGTTCTGTGCATGCATGATCAGCATCAATTTCCCGCAGACGTTTGAGCTTCCACCATTTTAATAAAAGACAAGAAAGTCAAACAACGTGTGTTTGTCTGTGATCTCTGTGCTACCCTGTTTCCATTGCGGGTCTGCCGGCATTAATCCGATAATTACTTTTGTATTTATGAGCAAAACAAAAAAATGGTGGTGCATTTCATCTCGCCAGTACAATAGTGTACCGGTATTGATAACAAAGAGTAATTCATAACTAAGGTATAGGCAGAACCCAGGTGTCGTTGAAATAGACCGACTCTTGGGTAGAAGCCTCCATAATTTAATTTTTGGGTCACAAATGTAGCCAACTGTATTTCATAGGATCGTACTTATACCAGAAGTAGCATGAGATGCGAAAATACTAAAAACAGCAGGGTAAATGCAAAAAAACAAGCATGTGCTTTTCCAAGAATCATGTTTTCCGGAATAAGGCATGGAATTCGCATAAAATTAGATTTTATGCGAAATCAAGCACCATACGCTAAGACACACTTTTTGAGACTGTTATCTAGTGCTAACCACTAACCAAAACTACAGTACTACATGTAGTTACTTGAAATGTATTGGCAGCGTTTTTTTTCCTGAAAAATACCACGGCAGTTTAAAAGTTCAGTCTATTGTGATTGTGATCAAAGCTGCAGTTATTAAAATGTACCCGTAAAATACGGCCCCAGAGCTCCAATGCGACGTTCCCATTTTTATGGGTGACGTACTGTATCCTCCAGAGACAGATCGTTATAAAACAATCTGCCACAAGTATAGGACGGATGTCATAAAAAAAATTCACTGAAAAACTTCGATGAGGTTTTAAATACGATGGCACTGGGGCCGTATTTTACGGTATTGCAATACATGTATTTTCCACCTTACAATGCATCACTTTGACTCAAAGTAAAGCTCAAAGTTTGAGCATAGAAATACACTGAGAGCTGTGTGATAAACGCTTATCGATCGTATTCTCTGGATTTAATATTCAGAGCGAGTCATTTTGACCCAAAACAACTCTAACCTGTATCAGAAACATAATCTTTATTTTAATCCCAGATAATGGAAATGTAAAACTGAATATCCGATGTCACCCACGTGAATGTTGCTTGTGGCGGCCAAGGGTAACATCACTGTAAATTACGACTTACCAAGGTAATTTATTTCTCGTGTTAGTTGTTCGAACAGACTTCAGGTTTCACGCAGACAATGCGTCAATAATGAACGCATGGGAACTAATATCCTTGAAAGCATTTTTATGAGCAAATTGACAAGCTCAGGCACTTTGAGTAAACTGAAAAGTGCGTAAATATTCTTGTAAAATTTCTACGGATCAAATTTCTACGTACCTTATTCTGAGTTTTGTGTTGCTCCTTACTGATCCATGTAAAACCAGTGGTGAAGCAAGACAGCAGTGTAATTCAGAGCTTCTCCGTGAAACACGGCTTTGTTTTTTATGTTGTTATAAGGCTACTGTAATTATGCGCTCATTGTCGTAGCTCATGCCATCAGCTTTTGCTCGGGGGGGGGGGGTATCTGCTGCGCAGTACGCTTGCTAAAGCAACTCTTAATATTTAAATTGACAAGGCCAATGTTTTGTTTAATACTTTTAAAAGTCATTGGTAATTTATTAATTTTCTATGAGAAAATCGAATTTACACGTGGTAAGGCTTGGCACAGTATTTTCGGGAGAACAATATTTTCGAAAGACCGGCCAAATTTGGCCGGGGCTCACAATACCATTTATTAATTAAAGAGCCGTAGCTACGGTCTGTAGCACAAAGGATGACTTTAGAAAGCAAACCAGTACGTGAAGCAAAGAGACCCCAGCAATTTCTCGTGCAGTCGGTTATTTTAGGAGGCTCAAGAAGTATTTCCACATTGATACTGTAATAATCTCGATTACTTGTACGCCTACCGTTCCAGCCTTCAGTCAAACGCGTAAGGACAGGATCAAGACAAATTATCAAAAGAAAAGGATTGCGTGGCGATTCCGTCGATGCAGATGCAAATGCAGCAACTGTTTGACAGTCGTGCTTGTACAGTGCTGCACCCCGTTTTCGCGCCCTTGGACCTTTGATAAACTTCCGGATGTGATGATCCTGAATCCAAATGAACTTATATTCGTATGGTAAACTCTGATTTATTTGCAAATCCTATATGGTCCACCCCCGCGAAAACGGGGTGCAGTACTGTACTTGTAGAGCACTTTGATGATCGCGAGGAGTAACGCTGATTAATTTTACGTGATTAATTTCTGTTGTGTGCCGGTTCGGTTGCCTTCAACGTAGCAACTTGACGGCAAGAGGAGGAGAACCGCTTCGATGAGTCAAATAAGGCGGAAATGTACCGGCGCCGTCAGGGTGGCGCATGGTCTCATGTGCAGCACAAGCTTCCGCCGCCATGTCTTCTACCAGCTGTCTGCACGCACACTATCCGGCCCTTTATGCCAGTAAACTCGAGAGAATAGGAGAAACACACGTCCATCGCTGGGATAACACACACGGGGCTGGGCGACGTGGGTGCCATAGCCGCGGCGCCGAGCTCACCAGCGAGCCGAGCACTACACTTTCCAAAGCATTCTATCTCCATATTGCGAGCGCAGCGAACCGCGGGGTCGCCGAAGGGGCGCCCAGCCAAGCGAAGCGCGGGCTGGTCCCTTTTCTGCTGTGACCTCTAATCGTCGATTATGTGCTATTGCGATACTCAGAAGGGCAAAAGTATACAGAAGTCAAGTCAAATGATTTGCTGTGCTGAAACAGTAAATACCTCGACCACCGATAGTCTATCGCTGGAACTTTGAAGTATTCCGGCCAGCGATTTGACAACTTCCCACCCCTATTAATACGGATTCCCCGATGGTATCCCATGATGTGGAGTTTACGCTTCGACACTAAACCAGCAAGACAAGTCCGCAGTCCGCAACCAAACCAAGCAAAACACGCTCTGCTTCCATTCTCAAATTGGTCTCCTCGAGAGCAAGTTCGATCCCAACATCTATCATGGTTAACGCATTCATCTTCAAGACCGCCGCTTTGGTGTCGACGCTGCTTGCGTCTGCCAATGCGGAGCTCGAGACCGTCAAGCTCTCCCACCCGCACGGCTCCAGCGCTGAGGTGTTCCTTTTCGGCGCCCACGTGAAATCGTTCCGTGCCGCCATGGACCCCAAGCTTGACATTCTGTTCATGTCCAAGGAGTCCCACTTGGACGGTGTTAATCCCATCCGTGGTGGTATTCCCCTCGTGTTCCCAAACTTCGGTAGCGCCAAGGGATTCCCAAGCCACGGCTTCGCTCGTATCACCAACTGGACGCTTGCCAGTCACGAGGAAGCCGCTGACAAGAACAGCGCCAGTGTGGCCACCTTCACGATGGCGTCAAGCGAATCGACCCGCAAGATGTGGCCCGTTGACTTCGAGCTCGAGTACGAGGTGAAGCTGTACGCTAACCAGCTGGAGACGGCTCTGCACGTGCACAACAAGCACACGGACCAGATTGACTTCCACGCTTTGCTGCACAACTACCTGTGGGTGGATGACGCGCGCAACAAGGGTGTGCAGGTGCACGGCCTCAAGGGTGTCGACTACTTCGACAAGGTCGCCAAAGTCAACGCTACGGAGACCCGCGAGTACATCGACTTCGCTAATCAGACCGACAACGTCTACAGCAACGCCCCCAACAAGCTGAGCGCCATCATCAAGGGCGTCAACGCCGTGGACCGCACGGTTACAATTGATAAGGGCGGCTTCATCAGCGGCTCGTCCAGCCAGAAGAGCAACATTGAGGTGGAGACCGACGCCGTCGTGTGGAACCCGTGGGCTGAACGTGCCAAGGCCATGGAGGACTTCGGTGACGAGGAGTACAAGAACATGGTTGCTGTCGAGCCTGGCCGCGTGTCTGTCAAGCAGGTTCTGCCTGCCGGCCAGACGTACACGCTGCAGGAGACCATCTCGGTCACCACTTTGTAAGCGGATGCCGATGTAATTCCATGATGTAGATGTGTTAACTTTTTGATGGAGAAGAGCTTGTGAAAGGCTGGTGGTCGACTCACCACTACCCAACATTACGCGACCCAATAATGCACTAAAACAATTTTCGTTGTGCCTTTTCAGCTCGCATTTCACAAGAAACGAGGTAACAAAAAAGAGCTCGTTTAGCTTTATTACCGGTATTGTGGCACTAAACAGCCTTTATACCGGTACTAGTAGGACCAAATTGTACACGAGGCACCAAACAATGACCCTTTTAAAGTCAACTTTGCACTGTTCAAATTTATGTTGAGGTTGGTAGAACAAATCCTACAGGCATAAACAAGAAGAAGTAAACCCAAACTACCGCCGCGTAGTGGCTAGTACATGTATATATATTAAGTACAATAACGACTCCAATGCATAACCATTGGTAGACGCACGCCTTCATCACTTTGTAAGCTGGCTCACATCTTTGGGGCATGATTTTCTCCCTCGTGGCCTCTCGAGTGCTCCTCGTTTTGTAACGTCATATTTTTATAAACGCTAGCGAGAAGTGCATGACTACAATCAATTGAAGTGGCGAGGTACATGCAACCAAAAGAATTATCCATGATAGATGCATTTTTTTTTCCATACATCTTGTTTTTTGGGAATTTAAGAAATATATACTGTCGATCTTATTATTGAAATGATCTAATCCATGTAGCGGAAAATTTAAGACTTTACAAACTTTCTCGAGTTTTTTTATATACCATTAAACGTTTTAAAAAATGTTTTGTATTTGATTTACTGTTCATGGTATAGCGCTCTATAAACGTTAATATACTGCTGATGCAGTTTTATAACAGCTTTTTCTTAAACTCTAGCTCCCGGGAGGGATTATTTCTACCTCGTCTCATATAAGTTTATATGACTGTTTGTATGTGGATAAAAAAAGGAAGCTCAGGTTTGGGTAGAGTACGTGCTAGGACGGTCACCTCACCTCCAACATAAATTCTTTTATGGAGTCTCAATACGTCGCTTCATTTAGTAATGCTGGCTAGAAATACATTAGCAGCGCCCTTTTAGACTGATATACCATCTTTTATACTGTTGCAAACGTCCAGCAACGGTACTCAACCTATTATTTACCAATGAAAAGAGAGATTTTGTTTTGTTGTAAGTGATTGCAAGCACCCGAAGCAGATCAGCCACCACAGCAAGCAGGAAAAAGACCGTGCTAAATACGCTTCATCGCCTACCGCGTTTCCAGTCGACTCATCAGCAATTCCGTCGCTCTACTCGGCGGCGACATCATCACTACGCGCTTTGCCAGCCTCCGAATACTCGGCGTCTACGCTTCTTTCTCGGGCGCGACAGTGGTGGGCGATGGTGCAGCTTGTGCTCGTCCAGCAGTAGCCGCGGGATGTTTAATCCATTGCTCCAGTCCGTGTGCCAGATACTGAAGCATGTCTTGTCCTTCCCTTCTCAATCTACATTACAAAGGTATGTTCTTCAAAATCAACGCATCTAGGTTAGAGATACATACCACACCCATGATGAAGTGGTTAGCAACGCACCTTTCGTTGCCGTTCGAGCACTCGGGGCAGAAATACTTTGTAGATTTCCTTGGCTGCACCTTGTATATCGCGCACACTTTGCACGAGCGTTGGCGCCGCTGGACGCCTTGCTTGCCGTCGACAGTGTCAAGGCTCTCCTCTAGCCGATGGCCACCATCAACACTTGCAGCGTCACCTTCATACGACTGCCGTACTGATCCCGACCGCGATGGAGAAACTGCCGCTTTGTCTCGCGCTTGAGTGGCCCTCTATTCAAATATGCAGCATACAGTGTAATTATGTTGTATCTGAGTAGCTAAATCAAACTGTTCTGTTGGATATATCGAACATGGTGCTCACCTCGATAGCCGCTTAAGTCTCCTTTGAATCAATTGCGAGTAGCTGCTCCATGAGTGTTTCGAAGAACGTGAAATGCTTAGCCGGACGCCTGTTGTTCAGCTTTCGGTGGCTGCGAAAAACAATATATGCGCTTACCAATGCCATATCAAGCAGTCCTAAGAAAAGTGTTGGATGTAGAAGTTGTTGTGTAGATGCCGTCAGTTTGGAGAGTGAGATGGCATCAAGGCCATCTCCACCGTCACATCCCTCGGCTTACTATTATGGATGGCAAGGTGGCCTCGTTTCTTTGGTTGGTCCACAATAGGAGTCTGTTTGCGGCCAATAGGAACAGCTTATTTACTCATAACTTAAATTCAGTCAGTACATACAAAATCTCTTACGTATTTGCGGCGTAACAAAAAGCGTCTCGTAGTACTTACTTGTCTTGTAGCATAACTGGATACTGTATCGCTGCATCCGAAGTTGGTCGTGTACATCGACACCTCCCATCCAGCGGTGGTAATCACGTTACCAACTCCGGGGTGGCACCTCGCCGCGGACTCTTCGCACTACGACACATCCAAAAACATGCTAGAAATTGTAAAATACCAAAGATGTCAGCAAATTTACTAGCAGTGCCCGTAGCCCGGCTGCCTCCGCTAGACAGGAGGTGTACGGGAGTACGATCCATCCACATCACTGCCGTTATTTGAGGGAATTGCTTGTTTTGCGCCATCTTGATCGTGCCTTGCGAAGGCACCATCTCCCTAACTTTGATCACTGTCTTAGATTCCTTCTTTGTGACGACTCTATTTGCATACTCATCTCTATCGGTCTGGATCGTACCCGTCAAGTACATACGACAGTGTAGCATCCCCAACGCTAGTCTAACTGACGTGTAAAAACGGTCAGTAACCACCAACCTCCAAGGCGATATCTTCGCCCCCCACTTGTGCGGTTTATTTTTGTTGAATTGCCGGATTGGATTGTGGCGCGAGCGGGAAGGCAGCGTGGCTTCATCGAAGCTAACAACAGGTGGTGCTTGGTATCCACGTGAAAATATCCGCTGCATCACATCTAAAACCAGTCTTATTTTCCACGCTGATCAGTACTGGCTCGAGGCGACTTGTTGGTGGAGAAATGCTGATAGCCCATCACATGAAAGAATCGGTTCTCCGAGATGACGAGATATAACCGATTTGTAGGTAGAGCTCCAACTTGTTTAATTTTCCAATGTGCAGAGATCCCTTTCCTTATTGGCATCAGCATACGGGAAATCCGTAGCCCCACAGCACGTAGAGCCTCCCATGGCCCAATGGTTCGAGAAAGGCGTCGGCGGATATCACCTAGTTCTTCAACCTCACCCCCATTTCGACGCTGCTGGTTGCGAATTGTGCGAGCACGCTGTGGTATCGACTGCATGTGATACCGATTACTCTCCACAGCAATTTGACTCAATCGTTTTGGAGGCATAAAGTAAAGGCGAAGAGCCAGGGGGTCGTCTGCCACCTCCATCACACTATCACTTGGTTTGAATGGGCCATCATAAAAGCCGTGATAGCTCGGGTCAGGGGCAAACCTTTTAGGATCTGCAAACAACAAAAACCAAAAATAATGTTAGCAATTATGTTCGACAGCAGTCACACTCGAATGCGATATGTTGGACATCGCAAACATAACATACCATACTCCCACCCGTCGGCTCTCATCTTGGGGATCCTCTGCTTGTCCCTCGCCGCCGACAGGCACACTAATGCAGGGAGACTCACCGTCTCTTCTTCTGCATCTCCATAAGTCAGCTCTCCAATGTCCCAATCTTCTACCCAATCATCATCGTCGTCGTCGTCATCTTCGGATTCTTGTTCCTCATAGAGGGAAGTGTCCTCGTCGGAGTTCAAAGCCGGTACACTGTGCAGCGCCACTCGCCATCAGATTAGCATCCCCAACCACAATACACTCCACCAAAGGTGTGGGGCTGGGCATTGGATCGTCACCAAGCGACTCCTCGTCACTCACACTCTCTTCTTGAAGGACTGCTCGACGACGTTTTCGTGAGCTAGGCTGCGTTTGTGCCGGAACGGAGGTGACACGGACGCACGTGTCGTACCCTCTGAGTCAGACGCAACAGTAGAAGCCACAATATTAGCAAGCACTTCTCCAGCCTCCTTAGCCTCGTCCCCCGTTCCCGCTGCCTCTTTTGCCTCTGTTTCAGTTTCCGCACACACTGCGTACTCTGCCACTGGGGGTTCGCGACTGTTTTTCGACTCACAATTCTCCATAGCAGTTGTAGTGCGTTTGGCACCCTTCTTTCGTGCGGCCTTTTTAATGGGCTGGGCGACATCTTCCTTTTGCACAGCTTGCCGAAAGCGGCGCGCGTGCCGCGAGCACAGAAGTGCTTCTTGGCACTGCCGGTGTTCTGTCTTAGTCAGCTTGTTGCGCGGTTGCTTTTCTGCAGGAGCGACCATCTTGAGCTCTACCTCTCATTTTGTGGAATGAGACGATTTGATGGCCGTCAGCCACTTCTACGGGGTGGGTGACCCGATCCCTTCTATACTAAGTGCAAACCTACACCTGTGCATCGGGCCCTTTTTCAGCCAAAAACATCTTACTTGAGTATATGGTGAGAGCGACACTACTTTTCTAAAATTTACAAGTACAGCAGGCTGGTTTGTTGGAGGTCCATAATAAACAAGTATGCGGCGAATAGAATGGATTAGGGTATACTCTGCATATGTAGTACTGTACACCATATGGGAATTAAGGGGTTAAAGTTGAATAGCATTCTTTTTAATCACACTTGTGCTTTGTTTACATATGAGAGGTTTTATTTCTTCCGCGTCTGTCGAGATGTTTTCTCGCTCTTAGCATTTATACCACCGCTTATGGTAGTTTTAAGGCATATTAACTGCTACGTTGATGCAGTACATCGTCGCTGTAAGAGTGCTGGTGCAATATACTACAGTACTACAGTACTACACCTTTGCCGGTCCAAGTTGGCGGTACCGTAGAGCAATGTAAATAGCATTATTGTGAAAAAAAATAGTTAAAAAATTGTAAACGGAAAAGTGAAGTTTGAAATTGACAAGAAATTGCACAGCAAAGTAAAGAAATTGTAGACCA